CTGCTGTGAAGTCCTGGACGAATTGTTGAGGTTCTTGAAAAGAAGTTTAGTTGATCTTAAGCCAGCAGTAAGCAGGAATCCAGACGATTTACAATAGATACTCTCTATGATGTCGTAAAGAGAAATTGCATTCGCTAACAAGAACTCAGTTGACCTTCGGAGAAGTTCGCAAAGGGCTGCATTCCATGGCCACATCGGAGGCAGGATCAACAGTGAACCGTAAAGCCCTCTTCAACTCTACACGACTGCAAACCGCGCCTCAACCTAAACCTGAAACTCGAAGACGTTTTGAGGGTGCCAGAACCCTGCAAGCCTTGAATCCGAGATTGGGCTGCAGAAGCGGAGCGTTTAGCCTGACCGGATTCCTGGCGTTGTTTCCTTCGGATTCCCCTGGGTGCTCACTGCACAATTCGGGTTTCATTTGGAATCCATAGTCCCCACAAAAAATTTGAATGTTAATCAAGATGGTCATGATGGTGATGATGAAAGTAAGGAGACTTGCGGGCTTTCGTGGAAAAACTAGGTTGCTAGATACTACCAAAAACAACAATGATCACAGCAACAGCAACATTGGCTGCCACAAGTCAACCGTCAAGGTCATCCTGGAGGCAAGACCGATGTTATGCAACTGCCGCGTTTCGCCCACGCGCCCAGGCTTCGCCATCCCTTTTTTCTTCGGGCGTGCCCTGACAGGCTCGCCCGGCATCAGCGTTCAGGGTTGGCTGGTGGCGGTTGCATTGCTGTATCAAGTTTGTGTGCCTGTAGACAGTCGGTGGGAATGACATCTTTAGGAGACTTCCAAGTGCCAACTTCAAACTCCCATGTTCCGCAAGCACTGAATTGATTGGTGGTCGCGGAGGTGGGGTGCTCCACCGCGTCTTCGGCATGAACAGAGGCGTCATGCCCTTGCGGATGCCAGCTCTGGGCCCAGTCTGACGGCGCTTCCGCTGGCAGTGTCCGAAAGCTCTGAATAATTAATCCCTGATGAGCAAAGCCCCCTTGTCAAGCAGAGCCGTCCAATGCCTCCCGGACCCCAAATTGCAACGAAATGGGAAGTGCAAGAAGCCTTCACCCACCTGCTTTGGCAACAAATGGAAGCATCTTTGCGAGGAACCGAGATTCATCGAGACTCAATTTCTGCGGGACGGTCAGAGCAAGTTGTGGGTATGGGGGGGATGTCGGGGCGCAGGCTGTCGAATGGTAGAAGAACGAACTTTGCAGCATCATCAAGACGAGGAATTCGTTCACGAGCATGTCCAAGATGTGCAAGCTATCGAGCATTATCAAGTCGAAGGTTAAGGACCTCAATAAATCCTTGAGCGCCATGGCACCTGGAAGATTTCCAAAAATCCTTCAGCCCCGCCCGGTAACCTTACAAATGCTTCAGCCCTGCCTGAGTTGGCCCTCAAGGCATGTCAATGTCTATAGTTTGTATCATAATTTTTTCTGGATCCGGCATGGCTTGTGTGGTTTATCGTTGGTCGTTGTTTTTTTTTGTGGGCGCACGCCCCGCCATGAAAGAGAGACGGAGACTCGCTGGGGCAGCCAGGGGGGTGTACTGACCGTAGGTCAACATGAGTCAAGTGTGAGGGGAGTAGAGAGGATCGATGATGAGTGTGAATGACAACAGCTCCGTCAGTCGGAGTTGCTTCGGAAAGTGGTGCAATTCCTCCTGAAAAAATGAGATCAGGTCCAGTCCGTGGTCGGCAAGCCCATTCACGTGGATGCTCCTGTCCCCAAGCCGACTCAGGCACACGTCCAGGTTCAGGGTTGGGGCTTGATGTGGTTTCGACGTTGGCAGATGGCGGAGGTCCTTGAAGATGGACAAATGCTCACGACCCCTGGCCATCAAGGTGGCTGTGGCCATCCGCAGCAAGAGTCGTAATCGTAGCGCCAACCAACAGTGCTTCAATCCACGTTTTTTGCGGACCGCAGTTGATGAGGCGTTCAGGCGAAGGGAGCCCTCCTTAAACCCAAGGAACAAGGCCTTGAAACGATGCCAGGAACAGATAGATGAGCGGCTTATCCGAATTCAGATTGTGTTTTCCAAGCAAGGTCGATGATTGCAAGGAGGGGGCGAGCATGAGAGCAAGGGACTGCCGCTTCGAGCTTGGCGGTTGTCGAGTCTGGGAGACTCGTTGAAGCAACTGCTCCAACTCCAAAGACCCGACTTCATTAACCCCTAAGGCCCTAAACCCCGGACCTAAAAACCCCCGAGGCCCCAGGCTCTAAGCCTTAAAGACAAAACCTGCAGCTTCACACCCTGACCATATAAACAAATAACCTGAAAGCACCAGACCAACATCCCAAAACCCGAAGCCCAGGCTTCATGCTCGTTATGTTGCTGGACTACAAGAGGCCGGGTGTGCGGATCTTGCTTTCACTTTTTCCGCCGCCTTCGCTCGTCCACCTTTCGCATTCTTACTAATTCCTCCGGCCCCTCTATTGGTCCCAAACCCCAAAACCCCGGACATAGTCATGGAAGTCTGGGCAATAAATTCCTTAGGGTTCCTTCATATAATGATAGCGTTACGTGTGTATGTATGTATGTATGTATGTATGTATGTATGTATATATATATACATATACATATACATATACATATACATATACATATACATACATACATACATACATACATACACAAACAAGTGCCAAAGCCCTCTTGTCCTCATTCAGGGGTTGCGGGGTTGAGGAAGTTGTCGGTGCAGGGCCAGGAGTCACTCCTGGAATGTGAGTTTCCCCATACACTTTCTTGGAATTAAGGGACGCCGCATCGGAGGAACCTAGGGGTGAGAATGGGTCCCCGACATTCTGAAACTCCCAGATCTACGACGACTGGAAGGAGAACTTCTTCCGAGAGCGAAGCCGGGTCCTGGATCGAACCTGCAGCTGCGATTCATGAAGGGAGGATGGGTCGAGATTGGACCTGATGGTTCGGCATCGGAGAGGTTTTGGGTGCCCGGGTCTCCGTGCCGCCTGCAGCATTTTGCGGTTCCAACTTGTCTTCTGCCTGGTCGATCCAGTCCGGCTCCCAATGGCACGCCTCGCCGCTTGTGTGTTGGCTTGTGGGCTCCTCATCGCCGGCGCCATGCGTCCAGATGCCTCAAGTGTAACCCAGGTGGGCCGCTGAAGCCTGAAGCTGGTGAGACCGTTTCCTTAGAACAATTTGGAGCCCCAATGTTCTCATGAGTTGTGACAATGTATGTTCCACAGGACCAGCTGCTCAAGATGATCCGGGACCTCCAGGGTCGCGTGTCGGCCTTGGAGGGCCAGCGTGGCTCCGAATCCAAGTCATCACGATGCTGCAGCAAGACCACCAACGACGGCAAAATGGTCGGCTACTGCCTCATGTCCGACGGCGAGGCGCGGCCGAAAAGCGTCCCGATCTGCTAATCCGCATCCTGATCCTAGAAACTTGAATCACAGAAATATACTTGCCAGTCGCAGCATCAGCCAGCAGCAGTCGAAGCGCCTGGTATCTTCATCTTGCGTGACAGACTTGTGTGTCAGGCGGGCTGCCTGAGCACAAACACGGAGAGTTCCACCCGCGCAACGGTGAGCGACGAATTCTGCCCGCCTGCTACTGAGGCTTGCTAGGCCAAGTTAGATCCATGTAGAGGCAGCCTCGCGCGAGCCAGTGGCAGAAAAAAACGCAAGAGCGAGAAGTCGTTTGCTGTTGGAGACGCTACGATTCCTGCGATCCTTTTTTGTTTTGACAGGGTTCCTGCTCATGTGCCCCTTCTCGGTTTTCGATCGCAATGCTGCTGCTTTCACGCCTACGGTCTCCCCTTCTCTAGGGCTCTGATCGCACCCACCTAAATGCCCCTGACTTCCAACGTTCTTTTGACAGGTCGGATCTAGATGCTGTCGGCAATTGGGGCTGCACGGGTCTTCTAACTAGAGAGCTTGAACACAATCCATCCCAGCAGGGGTTCATAGACGCCATGAGTCCTTCTGAAGATTTTGGACCTTTAGCACTCGGGATCATTCTTAATCCGCCCCCTGGACCCCCAAAACCCCGAAGCATTTTTTCGCACAACTCGGTTATGGAACACGCCCGGTCGAGGAGCCCTGAAACCCGGAGTTCAATTCCGACCGAACCGTAAGAGCCTGAGCCTCTAAAGACCCCTGAAATTAGTTTGTGAAAATGTGAAACCGTCGAACTCGCCAAACCCACGCAAGCTGGCAGCCTGCAGTGGAATCGACAGCCACCCTAGAACTGAGGACAGGGCGAGCGCTCCAAGGAGCCTGGCTTAGGGTCCGAGTTAAGCAATGCGTTTAGGGTTCCAGAGGGTTTAGGGGTTAGGGTTCCATGTTTATGTTGTGGCTTCGCCAGTCTTCGGTAGAACGGTGGGTTTGGTTTCGGAGCGTAGGTTGAGGGATCCAAGGCACTGCCCTTCAACCTGTCCAGGAGGTCTTGCGACGAGGGAGCTTCCACATGGATAAGATCGAAAGCATGGTGATCAACTGATGCCCGGGTTGAGTGCCTCTGGACTAAAGAGTATCGGTAGTTTGTGGCTTCGAGGTTCTTTCGTGCTGCCAGGGCTCAAAGAGCGAGACGGTCGCATCCTGTCACTCCCTTCAACCTAGCCCATCCTGGAGTATGCCGCTGCCGCTCTTGAAGTTGATGCTGTTCAGCACATGCACAGGGTCACCCAGGCACAACTTGTCCTACGACATGAGTCCGCAAGCATTCGAGTGCATCGAGCATGCATAACAAAAGCCATACCTCCATAACTGGTGATCCTGTTGATAATAGAGCCCCTTAACGATTAAGTTTTAAGGTCACCGGGCATGGCTCGGCATCAGCAAATGGCTGACTGTCACCTGCTTGGGCCAGCATCGATTGCGGACTTCCGGCTCTTGCGTCGAAAAAGCACTTCGCAGCTAAAGCTCCCGAACATTTGAGTTTCGACTTTTGGGTTAATGACTCCTGGTGGAGCTGGCAAGCACAAGCACCCCGAACCCCATTGACCAGACTCCACGAATTCCACAAGGCGATTGCCTTTGCACGCAGGACAGGGGTGGTAAAGTTCGCAAGCCGCACTGTCCTGGCATTTCCCTTCGAAGAGGCCGCCAAGCCCTAAACCCATTTTTCAGAAGCGTTTTGGCACCTGGCTGTCTGTGAGAGGACCTGGGCAGACGTACTGACTTCCAGGCTCAACGGCTTGGCAAAGGCCAGCCTTGATTAGACGTTTTTCTTCTTCGCTTGGTTTGGAAGGGAAAGTCCTTGTTTTCGAGTCATCGGGGCGGGTTTGTTGGTGTTGGGTTTGTCGTGGACACGCCAGCTGCCCATCGAATGACTTTGCGTCTCGCGGCTGTCGGTGCAGCGCTAGGCAGTTCAAGAGATCCGTTGAAGTTTGTTTTTCGTAGAACGTTTGAGTTGGCGCGGCCTTGCCAGGATCAGCGCCAGGCGTTCCTCCGGCGCCGGCAGAGCATCAACGCTTCGCCCAGGCACACAAACTCCCCTGACACAATGATATACCTGATCGGACAGGTCACACACTGGAAGAGCACCCCACCCTTCGAAGATCACATTTGAACTTGAAGTGCTGGAGGATCAATGTGGATTTGTTGGAAGTGGCCAACTTTGGTTGCCGTGTTTGTGAGGTCCACAAATCGGGCATGTTCGGCTTCACCCCGGTCCGGACCCTGAAATCGCAGGGAGTGGACCCGACGTGCCACCTTCAATGCCCAACCCGTAAATCCGCAGAGCGTGGATTCTGGGCAAGTATCCGTTCCAGAGATGTCGGGTTCAAGCCAAGTTCAAGCACGATCCTCGAGGTCAGCCAGCGTGGGCGGCCGGCGTGACGACGAAGAGGCTCTTTGGTTGTCAGTTGCATGGTCTAGTTCTCGTGTCGTATCGTGTCAAACGTGCTTGCCCGGCAACCACGACGTCTCCTGAATCCAGAGTCATCCAGAGTCCATAGCTCCATTCGGAGATGCGACCATGCTCGGATGTCCAGACCTCGCCACGACCTTGTGGCTCGCGCGGCATCCTTCCGCTGCAGGTGAGCACCCGCCACATTGTGGACTTGGCGGCCCTGTACAAGCTGAGCCCCTTCCGGATTTGGGGAGAGTTAGTCAGTGGAACCCTAGAAGCCGACTTGTTCACAGCACCTACTTGCATGGGAGAAGTTGGCTTCGAAGGTTTGGGCCTTCGAGTTGAGAAGCCTCCGAGTCGAACCCCATCTACCCTGTACATCCGTGTGTCCCGTGCCCTAAGCCCTAAAACCCAAGTCTTGCGTGTCAGCAGAATTGAAGAGACCAAGCTGCGGCCCAGCTCAGGATCACACGCGATCTCAGGTGGGACTCTGCTACTGTGAGGGTCAGCGGATTGCGGCTTAGAGTTTTTGGACCTTGATGTTGCCAGTTGAGGATGACTAGAGTGGGCACGAAATAATTAGCTCTCCGAACATCCCCGATACCATGTCGGGTTTCGGGGATGAATCCGTTGTGCAGGTTCCTGTGCATGACCAGCCGGATTGAAGCACCACGATTGAGTGCAGTGTAAAGGACAGCAGTGCTGCTCATAAGCTCCTTTGTTTCGCTTCGTCTCGCAGGACCTTCAGCCATGCCTCTCGCCTGCTGAAGCGCGGCGCCCCCGGGCGCGATCGTTTCAGAGTCACTCTCCGTGGCAAAAAGCTTGGATGCTCCTCTGCTTGAGAAGTCTTCACCGTGATGTCAGGTGCTGAGGGCACGGCGCTAGGCGCTGCGTGCTTGCTGTTGCGATATGGGCGCATGACACGGCCGGGAACTTGCAGACTAAACCACGGAAGAGTCGAAGTGAGCCCAACAAAAGCCTGAATTAAGCCGCCAGCCTTGACGATAAGAGCCTTTCAACTTCCCCAGCTTCTTGTGCCGGCAGGCGTGCAGCTGAGGTGGGAGCTTGGGTGCTTTGCAGGGATTGAGAACTCGAGAGCCCCTCAAGCACAGGGTCTAGTTTGAAAGCCCGACTCCGAAGATCTGAATTGCCGATACCTTGGGCAAGGAGTTTCAGAGTTCTTTGCTGCCCTCTGCTCCACCCTCGGTCATGCTCAAATCCATCTGAATTTGCTTTTGAATTAATTAGACTGTGTAGATTACGCGACACTCTCAGTCTACAAACCCTATAGGCCCTATAAACCTCATAAACATAGACTATGCAAGACCCTAAATCATAGCAATCCCATGAAACCACATAGCGTGCTTTGCTCTCAAAGTCTCAAGCCCTGCAGAGCCCTATTCACACCAAGCCCAAAGCAGCGCAGCATCCCTCGACAGTGTGCCCACACTCGACGCGCTGCGGCTCCGCTTTGCCGAGCTGGCCCCTGGCCACGCGCACCTCGGGGCCTCGGCCTCGGGTTGCCGAGGAGTTTTCCGGAGGGGTTCCGGACAGAGGTCTTTCGGGTTTCAGGCTTTCGGGCCTTGCCGGGTTGAAAACAACTTGGGATCAGGGTGTTTCTTTGAATAACGTGAGGCTGCAGGGAGTGCCGCAGGGGTCTTCGCTGCGGCTCTCAGACCATGTGTCAAACCTATGACCTCCCAAATCAACAGAATGTCCACGACCCCCCTTTTACCGACCAGGTCCCAGATCCTGCTGACAGTGCCGCCGGGCACTCAGAGCATCGTGTCGGCCGCTTTTCAGGGTTCCGGGGGGTGTCAGTCATTGTTTGTCCTGAGTCTTGAAGACCCTGAAGACCGACCCTGTGTGCCCGAAGCACCTTTAACTCCTGGTTCTGACCATAGACTCTCTAGACTCGAGGCACTTGGAAGAGCCATGGAGAAGAGACTCCAACAAACAAGAGGATCCTGCAAGACAGAACCCTAAACTCCAAAGATTCCGGAGCTTTCAGAGGCCACGGCCCGGCTGGAGCCGTCTCTGCGTGGTTTCAACCTCGAGGCAACCTGCAAAGGGCCCTGCAAGGGCAATCCACCCTTGGGTGTTTCGTGGATTCAGCGATACCGAAACAGACCGACTAAAGGGCTTAGTGTATTCTGATTCGGATCATGAGAGCCCTTAATTGAGGGGCTGCTCATTCAGGTTCGAAGCGAGTCTTGGGCTCTCCGGAGACATCAAAGGATTCTGCTGCGATGCGCCGTCCGAGCAGGCTAAGCCCGGACACCTTGAGTCCTGAAGCCTTTAGCACAGAGGAACGGGGTTGGAAAGCGACAGCCTCAAACTTAAACGCCTAGCTCTAAACCTAAAGCCTTGAGATGGGGCAACCAGCCAAGGGAAAAGGAGCGATGAAAACTGAAGCTTCCAAGCCCCTGAAGCCCGATCTACACCCGGAGGAGGCGGGGCCTCGCCTCGAAGCACGGCGCCGGCGCTTGGCCACGCAGCTTCTGGCCGGGCTGCCAGTGTTTCCAAAGCTTTAAAGGGGGGTCTAGGGCCGTCTAGGGGTGGGGGCTCGAAGCGCCTATAGCGAGACGCACATTGCAACGCACGTGTATAATTCTTGGGCTACGGCGTTTTTTCAGCTTTGCATTAGCCGCTGTGTTTTCCGGACTTGTAGTGGTCCTGCCATCGAAGCAACGGTGACCGGTCTGTGGCAGTGAAGAGCATGGAAGCCACCCTGGTCCCTCCACTTGGGCCTGCCTCTGCCCCCTCTGAGGGTACGGCCTATCCTGCGGAGCTCCAGGCGTGAGACTTGGAGATCGTGGGTTGTTGTGGGCTTCGGGGAGTTTCACAGCCTCCCAGAGCTGTTTTTCCGGTGGTCTCTGCAAGAGTCCACAGCCCACAGTAATCAGTGTGTGCTTTCCACGGCTTTCCGACCGCTGGACTACCGATGCTTCCTGGAAAAGCCCTAGCAGTGCAGCCTAACAGGGCCAAAGAACTGACGGCCCAAAGTTATAGTCCTCGCCTCTTCCACTTCAAATCCGATCGAAGTCAGTGGCCTTACCACTGGACCACTCTCCCCAAGTCAAGCCCAAACCCGGGCAGATTTTCGCACGCTTCGGTGTTCCGCCCAGCATGCGTCGCGAGGTGCCGCGCTGGTGGTGGGTTCTGAAGAAATTTAGGCTTTCTTGCCAAGGCTGTTGCTCAGGTTGTCTTGCCCTTTCATGCTCAGAGGGCCCTGTGACATGCATGTCCAATCATGAGCAAGATTGTAAAGCTCGATGTAGCTTCCTGTACGTAGACTGCTTGTCGCCCTCCGGTCAGCACAGACAGACGCCCGAAGGTCTGGAGTTCCATCATGGGAGCCTCCCGTGCCCTGTTTCACTTCGCAGTCGTTTTGGGATTGGTCAAAGTGGAAACTGGCACGGGAGAGTCCGGCCAGGTCACCGAGTCGACTGGCACTGCAGCGCTGCAGGAGCCGAGCCCGGGTTCCGGTTGCGGCTTCGCGTCCGCGCTTGTTCGTCTCTGCAGAATTTGTCTCAGCTGTCGCCTCCTCAGACTGGCGGTTCCCGACGGCAGGAAGCTGCCAAAGGAATCAACGAGCTGTAGCCTTGGGCACTGGCAACTACAAAGCTGGTTCAGGGGTTTAGGGCTAAGACGCTCTTGCATCTAGGGCACAAAGCCCTCGCAAGGTGGGAGTGGCTCACAGATGACGTGCTGCGGCTTGATGTGTCGGAACACTGCCTGGCGCTTGGAGTTCGGACGGCTTACGTGGTCCCGGCGTTGAAGATGCGGAGAGATGTAGCTGTGAAGGGTCCGCCGATGCAAGGAAAGCGCTTGTGGGAGGGTAAGTGCGTTGGAGAATGGAAGGCCGATCCTGGCGACACAAGGTCGGCATAGACCAGCAGAGTTCAGAGCAGACGGGAAACGTCGGAAAATGAGAATGCCTCGCAACATTTGATCAAGAGCACATGCATCGCATATCTTGCTTGTTCCGAAAAGTTACCGCATCCATTCCAAGAGACGTCACACATCTCTCCGCAGTGCCTGAGTCTTGGGAATGTCGCACGGTTCAGCAGCCTGCACCCTTCTTAGCGATGCTAACAGCGATTGAGATTTTTGGTCTCGTCGTCAAAGCCCCGGAAGCATGCAGATCAGATCCTGATGCCTAGCTGGGCTGTCACCCGATGCTTGCTTCATCGAGGTAGATCTTGTCTCCAAGCATCATAACTGTACTTGAGACATGCTTCTGAAAGCACTGATAGCATCTCCTCTATGGATGCATGGATGTATGCCTGCATGCATGGCTGCATGTGCGTCTGCATTCGCAGTCGCATGTGTTATTCAACATGTGGCATGTCTGCATGCAAGCATACAGTTTCAGTTGCCATTGCATGAATGGTTTGGTATGTATGTACTGGGAAGTATGAATTGTGTACGCATGTATGTATGTATGTATGTATGTATGTATGTATGTGTTCATGCATAGGTATGTAGGTACGCCGGTATGCAAGGATGGATGGTTGGATGGATGGATGGACGGGTATCTATCGGTATGTATCTTTATCTACCTACTTACCTACCTACCTAGCTCGCTAGCTAGCTAGATCTATCTATCTATCTAGCTAGCGATCTAGCTCCCTATCTATCTATCTATCTATCTAGCTAGCTAGCTACCTACCTACCTGCCTATGTATCTACCTACCTACCTACCTACCTACCTGCCTACCTGCCTATCCATCCATCTATCTATCTATGTACATATGTAAGTATGTATCCACATATTTAACAACACATACATGTATGTGAGTGTGTATATATATATATATATATATATTATAACATATATATATATCATATTCATGCGCATACATATACATATGTAGGTATAAATAAATAAGTAAATATCTAAATTTATATTTACAGGCATGCACGTAGGCAGGCAGGTAGAGGAGGTAGGCAGCTAGCTGGCTAGCTCGGCGGGCAGGTAGGTAGGTCCTGTATGTAGTAGATAGGTAGTTGGCTCCTGTAGGTCCTGTAGCCAGGTATATACGTACACATGTGTGTTTTGGGTCTAGGCGCCAACGACGTTTCCTACTTCCCTTTCGATGAGATCGCCGAGGCTCTCGTGCTGGCGCTCAGCGGCTTGGCTCTGCAGAACTGTCATTCTTTGAAGACTCGCTTCCATGGTTGCAGCTGTCATACAGCTGATGTAGGGTTTCGGTCCAAGTTGCCAAGTTGAGTGTTTAGGGCAGCTGCAGATTCGAGTTTGCTCGTTCCGTCGTGTGCTCAGCTCAGACATGTGGGGTTCTGACGGCATCAATGCAGAGGGGCATCGCATCTGAGCAGTTGAATATTCCGGTGGGACATGTGGGTAGGCGTGGTTCGAGACCTTGCCTTCCGGAACGTCCCGTGTCTGGAAAGCGATCCGATGCACGTGAGGTAGAGACCCGCAGATCTCATCCATGTGCGAGAGCGGGCGATGAACCCAGTTGATTTCCTGCAAGTGACAGACTCACCATATGCGTGCATATTGCATCAGCGCATGACCGTTTCCGACAAGCTGCAAGCACGGAGTCATGGACACTCTGTCCTTCTTGACAACCTGTGCTTTTAGCTCAAACTGGGGCTCGGAGGCAGCAGAAAGATTTTTTACAGTTGACCATAGGGCCCTTCAGCTTTTGCTCTATTCAAGTAGCGGCTTGGGTCACGGGCTGTAGCGGCCGCACCGACTCGATACCTAATATTCCATTGCCGATCGAAAGCTTCGGCATGGACACTGGCGAGTAAACTGGAAAGCAATTCTGCTGAGTTGGAGGCCACCGCAAGTACCAATCGTGTGGAACTCAGGCGGTGAGCTCCCTGCACTGGCTGGAAATCGGCTTTTTTCCTTCACTTGGGCTGTGTGTTGGGTTCTTCTTTTTTTTGGATACCGTGAGAAGCCGGAAGCCTCCGAAATATGGCAGATTCGGAGACCCACTTTGTCGCACGACTGTGCCGACTATCCGGGCTGTAGAAGTGCAGAATTCGCATGAATGCACCATAGATGCTCCGGCTCCCGCGTTATCGCCTGAGGTGATCCCTGCACCGGACTCCGCGGATGCGACTGCCACGAGCCTAGACATCTTGAGATGGCAGGCTTCCAGTCGCTATGTTGCTGGAGTTTCGGCCTGGAGGCCTGCGGGTTTTGAGCCCAAGGCCTTGGATCTCATGTCGCTCAAGGTCTGAGTTTCAGGGAGGGGGTCGGTCTTGTGAATACCCCGAGCCTGAAGCTCTAAGGCAGAAAAGCTTACAACCCTGCCAAATCCAAAGACAGGCCAGAAAAGATCTTGAGCCCAAAGTCCTCTCCCCTTGTGCCGCCGCCCCTTGAGCTGAGGTGTCCAACGAAGTTTCGGAAGGCGCTGGGGCCAGGGCAGGGGAGTGGTTGAGGCTGAGGCCTCCTTGATTGGTTCATTTCTATGATTGAGGATGCTGAGCGTTTTTAGGGTTGTAGGATGTTGTAGGCATTGTAGGTTGTCAGGTTTTAGGCCTTAGGACTTGGTTTAACAGGACTTACTGAGGGGCAGGGTTGGCGCAGGGACCTCGTCTCGCTTCGCAATTGAAGCCGTTCCGGCCAGGCACGTTGACTGTCCCTCCCTCCGGCGCCCCGCGGCTCGCACCGAGTGGCTGCTTTCTTCTTGTTTTGGTTTTGTCCCAGTGAAGGTGAAGCGCTGGTTGAGATATGAGAGTGTTGAGATCTTGCATCAACATGCATCAACAGTAGCCACGTCTTGCAGGGTTTCAACGCTCGTTTGGGGGTTGCGCATGTCTTAAGGCTAGCTTGTGCCCTGCCAGCTTCCGACCATCCCCAAAACCTTCCATGAGTCTGCACTGTTGTCGCTGTGTGTCCACGGCACCCTAAACCGGAACCTGGAGTTTCTATGTCAATTTCCCGTTCCTGACTAAACATGCTCAGCATCCTCGTGAACGCCTGTTGGGTCGGCTGAAAATCTGAGTTATCGCCGCAGGTTGATGTTGCGGTGCTTCGTTTCTCAGAAGGTAGAGCAAATAGGATGCAGCCGAACGCCCCGCTATCAAGACTTCAGGTTGTTGGGTTGCCACTACAGGAAGGAATGCAATGCCTTCGAGATCCATTCCACCATCTCTGAAGGTAGTGCCTTTCAAGGGTTTCTCCAACTACGCGTGCCCGTTTGCCTTCTTGGCAGACCGCCTGGAGACGGCCCGGAATCCCAATTTTTTGGGGGGATGTGGAACATAGCTCGACCTGTAAGAGGATTTGCGCATGTTCTCGCATTCTCTTGCATTCTGGCAGTCCAGGGCAGGACAGTGGAACTTTTCGCAGATGTTGTGACGGGCCCGTGTGGGATCACGAGTTGCCCGGAAACCTTTGCGACGCAGGCCCCAAGGCTTGATGAGGCTTGAAGATGGGCATCCAAAGGCCCATCGGTCCGAGAACCTAGCTGAACCATGAGGCCTACCCCTTGTTCCGGGCCTTTTACTGTCGAGTCCTTTGCAACTTGCCCCGGGCTGAGAGCGCAGTCACGCCGTGCCATGTGCACTCGGAGCCTTCGAAGGCACACAATCTCGAATCGGCCGGAGACGCTCCTCGGCTTGGAATAATTTGCCAGAGCTCGCGGCTGAGACGAGACGAGAGCAGAGCACATGTCTTCTTGTCCTTCTTAGCTCTTCTGCTCTGCTTGAGATCGTTTTTCTCCGTCAGCCACATGAGCTCTATTCGAGGCTCTTGCATCTCTGTGCCCTTTTCGAGTCACTTGCTGAAGCAACTGCCCCACGTGCGGCGCAGCACGTGAAGCAGCCCGGGCCCCGGGAACCATCTATCCAATTTCGGGAGTTTGGGCCGGTTTTTCTGGGCTTTCCAGCTGTTTCGTGTGCGGGCCTTAATTTCGGGTCTATGTTGCTGTGACCAGTGGTCCGCCAGCCTCCTGCAAAGGGGATTGTTTGGGACCGTCGCATCTTCCTGTCCCCTGATGTCCCACAAAAAGCGGAAAGGTTGGCTGTGGACTCGGCGCCCTTGCGCCACCTGGCAGCATCTTCGCAGACCTGCCGGAACCCGGGAGTCCGAAGTTGCATTCCGAGGTTTTGCTTTCCACTGGATAGTGACGGGCTTTGCGGGGTGCCCGCCACTCAGCGTCGAAGCTTCGCGGCAAAGCCACGAGATCAGTTGGCTTCTCAGGCCTCCCCGCAGAGCAGCTGCTGCACCTTTGGGACCGTCTACTGGGGCTGGGCCCTTGGGCAACGGGGCGCTCAACCTGTCCCGGACCGCGATTCCACTGCAGCTTCTCTCGCTCATGTTTGCTGGTTCTGAACTCTAGATTCGAGGGAGCATTACAAGTCAGTGTCTTTGACATGCGCAAGTTTCCAACGCGCGGATTAGCAACGACTCCGTGCACGGTTGCAGGAGTTGCGTACTCAGTCTCGGCAACGTTTGGTACTAGTAGAAACAGTCTTCGCAATAGCTTCAGCCCGGCCCCTCAACCCCAAACCCAAGCTGCCCAAGCTTACGGATTTCTCGCTTCAGTTTCGACTCCCCCGTCTTGGTGCCGATCCTCGCGGCCGCCATCTTCGCCTTCCGCGCCCGGCGCCGCGACTTTACGGTACATGCAAGGGCAGGAACAACGGGTTTGTACTACTGTATCTATCGATCTACCGACCAACTATCTATCGAATCTATCCTTCCATTTCGGTCTACCGCTATTTGTATCGGCCTATCTCTGCATGTATATGTGTATACAAATGTGTGTATATATATATACACACATACGCTCACGCCCCGCCCCCCCCGGCGACAGACCATGCCAAGAAGAGATAGGTGTGGTTAGATTAACAGAAGCTTATCGTTCTGTTAACAGTTAGTTCATCAACCTTGGCTGGTTACAGTAAGACAAGGAGCATTGTACAGTTAGGAAAACCATGTATGATCTATACGGGGAATTCAATAGTGAATGTTGTGTCATGTGATTACACATGCAAGTAAGGAACTGTATATTGCCACACAATCTTTGCTGGTCTTCGTGCGAACATAAATATGAATTTCTGCTTGAAGACCTTACTGTTTTCGTCTGTTTGTCAAGCACAGAACTTTACTCTGATTCTACGATTGAAGACTTTACTGTGGGAAAACTCGTGTTAAACGAAAGATGCTTATACTGGCTTGTACTAAATGTACAACAATTTTACTTCTGAGTGCTTTATGTTTGCATGAGGGTTGTGGCGTCTGTTTTCGTGCCTGTATGGCTTTGAACTGGTGCTTACAGTAACGAACCGTAATCAGTACAACAACAGCAAGTCACAACAAAGTTCTGACATTCACGATTGCTTAATGGTCAGCTAGGTGCACCATCTTTACAACGATTTATTCACTTCGACCAACAAAAGAACGGACATGAGTGGTTGTAGCTGGTGCACAGACTCAGGATGAGCTAAACGCAAAAACAACAGAAAGAGTTACTGGCATAGAGACAAGAAATCAAGAACCAACCTAACAGAATGCAAAGTTTAATAAGCAGCCCCAAACATGCTGAATTATATTCGATTTTCGAAAAAAAAACCATCTTCCAGGTTCCAAAACATTACATGCGCTACTTGATAAACCGACATTACATACCTTTCAGAATGCGAATAAACAGAGGAAAAGCAATTGATGCATGTGCTTTATAAGGTTTGGTTTGTCTGAAATAACGTGAATCGCAAGTGTTGAGCTATGCACCGATGACCCTGACTGAACCACAGGAGGAATTTACCCGTAGAAATGTAACTAAGAACCAAGAAAAGGGGAGGTACGGGGTGTTAACTGGGCTACTATTGCTGAAGTAAGCAAAACGACAAGCATTGGTAAATTTAATAGTAAAGCTGCACTGACTACACTGAATGAGATGAATTATACCTCGAAGAGCGCACTAGTAAGTATTAGTAGTTTAGATCTGACTGAGAATGGAAGTGGAGAATGGACAAGTTTATACGTGTACGTCGAGTACATTTCCAGTAACAATACCTGCGCCTAGAATTGTAGTAGTGGTGACGAACTGCTACTATGCTCAGGTTTCCAGCACTTTCGGTTTGTTTTAACGGATACACCTGAAGACTAGTGAAGATTACAATGCACACCTGGCTTTGCATACTGTATCAAGTACTGCATCACTTGTTAATGTAAAAGACTGCAAACATACCGGCCATATTGAAAAGATGGTGCATAGATACGTGGAAGCTCAACAAACATACTCACCTTGATATGAAATCTTGCCCGGCTTGAAAAGACCGAGAATCAAACTCTTCAAACTATATGGATGACGATTGATACTTCTCGCAGCTGTTGCAGTTGTTGCTCGTGTGTAGGGCTTAGTAATCTGGCATGTGAAAACACAAGGCTTTCCACCGGGGTTAAAAAAAATATATATATAGATATTATGTCTATTTGTTTAGATATATGCATCTGTATCTATCTATATCTGAATGTCTATATGCATTTACATTTACCTCTGTCTGTATGTACGTGCGTACGTACGTACGTGAAGGTATATGTGTGTGTGTACGTATGTCGTATGTATGCCGTATGTATGTATGTATGTATGTATGTATGTATGTATGTATGTATGTATGTATGTGTGTGTATGTATGTGTGTATGTGTGTATTATACACACATGAATAAAAGCCAAAACCCTTCCTATCTCTAGCTGTCTCTACGTATCTTATCTGTCTGTGCATCTTAAACTTCCTATCTTGACTGAACCCATCTCTTGTCTCGTCTTGTCTTATCTTATCTTGTTTGTGTATCTGTCTACCTATCAACCTATCTACCTATCTGTTTGTTTGTCTATGTATACTCTCTGTCTGTCCATCTATCCACGTAACACACAAACACACACGCACACACAGACGCACACACACACACACACTTATTTCTATGTCTGTACAAGCTCTGGTTTGTATGTATAGCATGCACCAGAGAGTTCTCGTGTTTTTCGCAAGAGTCGGACGTGAGGGCTTTCTTGGCTCGCTTAGGCTCGTTCTCGGCGCCCGGCGTCTGGAGGTCCGCGAAGACGTGATCGGGGATCGCCTTCCCCCCACTACAACAGCACAAACCCTACGAGCCCTGAGAGCCCAAACCCGAGACTGCTGTTCAGACCACAGCAGGGGCCAGGTCGTCCGTTGGAGGCGCGAGGCGAATGTCAAGCACACCCGGACCTGGCCCGCTGCCAGGAAGTGCAACTGCTTTTTGCAGACATCTCGTGTGCCCTGGCATGAAGATGAGTTCCTCGGATAGGAACAATTCTGACAAAGCCAGAAAGCAGCAGTCGAGACAGTGGAGTAGAAACAGGCCCTGCGAGCTGCAGCTTGGTTTGGGAACATTGCACCCCAGGCATCAAAGTTGTGCCACTGCCGGCTGCTCAGTTTGAAGCTGCACCATCCTGAAACTTTTTTGCCTTCGTGCATTGCTCTAAGTATGACGTATTGATCCTTGAAGCTGCGCTGAAGATGGCTTGTCTGCGGAGTCTTGAGTAGCTCCGCAGATCGTCCTATCTTCTCGAAAGCACGCAAAGCTTTAAATAGTGGCCGTGCGCTCCGATTCCAGACAGAACGATCTCCCACCGAGCCCGGTGTCCAGCAACACACATTCTGCTGTGTTCCGGCGCCGAAGGCTGCAGGCCTTCCTCTTCGGCGACGAGCTCGGTTCCGGTGCAGTGCTCGCCGCGCGGTGACCCAAAAAGGGAGCGGACTCGGGAGCTGACCAAGTAAGCGTGTGTCAGAGCAGCTTGCACCGGTACTCGACTATCAGATGCGGCCGCTACTTTAACAGTATCAAGAAGCCAGAATGTGAAGCCTCTCCCTAATGACGGGGCTTCCGCGGGCGGCGTCCCCGCATAAAAGCCGGCATTGCCCGGGCCTCGGATCGAGAGCGGGGCAGCCTCACGCTGTTTGCATTACTCACCCTGGCTCTCGCTCCTGTCGCTGACTTTTTTCTATTTGCAGAGCGGTGGAGGCGCGGACATGGACAGGCATGCTGGGACCCCTCGTTTATGTTGACACTTGAACTTGGCCCGCATGCAGTGGCACCGAGCTGTCTACACACATCGATCTCCTTCTTGGCCCAAGCGCTCACAGCCTTTTGACGAAGGTAGCCTCTTGCAGTAAGCTCGTGCTGTTTGTGAAACATGACTCATTGGAGCCCTGCCTTCGTGGGTCTCTCCTTACTTGCGCAAGTGCACTTTGCATTTTGCCTACGCCCGGAGCAATTCCAAAAAGCGGTGGAGGAAGCCAGCGCCAAAACCGTGGAGCCAGACAAGCCAACACTATATTGCTGCCATGATTGGGTTGCCAAAAAGAACAAATGCTACCCGCACAATTGCCCTTCCGCAAATGACCTGCCGCTGCTGGCTAGTGGGTTTTGTCCACCGGAATGCTGCTCCGAGGCTAGGGGTGACTGCCCTCCTTCTGATCCGTCTTTCTTGGAAGAGGGCTCGACCGGGCAGGCTGAGACGGAAGGAGTCGCAAAAAAGGCAGGGGACTTCGTGCTGGGCCTTC